ATTCGTATTGTAGGGATCCTTAATTCGTATTGTAGGGATCCTTATTAAAGGACTAAGACATTAATGCTTTAAAGTCTTTGTCCTTTTAATTAATCAAAAATACAGAAAGAGTTGCATAGCCACTATCAAGGAGGCACAATCAAAAATCTATGAGTAGAGTCAAGCTCCTTTAAGCAGCAACCATGCATCACCCTAAGTTGGAAACAGTGTAACTCAAGTTTACATAAACGCCAGCCTAATAGATGAAGAAAGGGTTGAGGCTGGTCATCAGAATTATTCTGCTTACCCTTAAAGTCTTTGTCTATGAGGTCTTCTTTAACTGCATCCAGATTCTGTCTTCAAACAGAATCTGGATGCAGTTAACATCTACCCAAGACGAGACACCATCTCTAACCTTTACTCAACCAAGAGCCCCAAGGCAGGGGAATTTTAGCTGGGTGCAGTTAACATCTGCCCGATGAGATGAGTATTTTTATTGAGACACCGTTCGTAGCCTTTATTCAACCAAGAGCCCCAAGGCAGGGAATTTTCAATTCAGCTGCAGGGTATGAGGTAGGTAGGACTGGGTTACATATTACCAGTAGCAGGGTGATCATGATGATCCTGAACCTGACCTGATCTGACCTGAAGTAATTAAAAGAAGTTGCTTCCTGTAAGTAGTACTTTAAAACATTGATGGGAATATTTTGGAATAGGGAAAAATGCTCTAACACAATACTAGAGATTAAGAGTTGAGCTTAAGTTTTATAGTTGGAGTTTTTACTAGTTTTTACTCATGCTGCATCAGAGATTTAAACAGAACACAAACGTACATAAAGTTTATTCAGTTTTCTGAATATATTGAATATATTTCTGAATATATTCTGAATATACTGAATATATTTCTGAATATATTCTGAATATATAAAACTGCTTTGTCTTACATATTTTAGCTTGGAACAAAGTAATTTGATTTCATTATCACTCTGATCATTTGCAACTTCTAACTGCATAAGAGCTTCAAGGATACAGTTGCTATGGTTTTGCAAAAAATTTGTATACACGAACTTGAATATAAGATTAATAGGATTGTTTGTTAATGTTCCAAAATTTGTAAAAATCTGATAAAGTACTAATTAAATGCAAGTTAAAATAAAACATTAAATAGTTAGTTAAAAAAATTAAATATTAGAAAATCTTCTCAAAAATTAATAATGCATATTTTAAACACTTTTTTGAATTTGTTTGAATCATTTAAATAAATTCTTAGACTTATGCATCTAATTAGTGCCAGTTCTATGTTTGAGAAGCTTCGACCAGTTCTATTTTTGAGAAGCTTCGACCAGTTCTATGTTTGAGAAGCTTGTTATGAAGCCAGTTCTATGTTTGAGAAGCTTGATCCGACAATATTTTAACCAAGTTGAGATACCAAAAAATACAAAAAGTTAATGTTTATATATTTATTGGCGTTTTTACCAGAAAATATTTTTTAATTGAGGTTTACCAAGGTATGCAATCAAATTACAAAAAAATAATGGTAAAACAGCTTTTTTCCAGTACACACCAACCTCACCCTTTAGGGATGTCTACAAAAAGAAGTTTTTCTGACACCCCTTGATAGATAGATTTTTAGGGAGCGAAAAATATGAAATTTGTTTTAGCTAAATTTATAAAATATTTCCACCGCTTTTGTAAAAGTGATAATAACTCTACATTGAGTGAAGCTTTTTAAACATTTCACTTTTCATAGGAACCAATAAACGATATAATGGCAGATGCGAAAAAACTTTCAGAGGGCATATTTTCAGAAAATGTTATATGTGACATTATTGAGAACAATGTTAGAATTTCACAACATGGTATGAGTTTATTTTAATCACCTGATTATTTCTCTTTATGTTTCAATTTTGATTATTTATGTTTTTATTTGCTTTTTTTGATTATCGCCTTTTCCTTTGCCAACAAAAAATTAATACACATTTAGGCTTTTTACTTTTTTTTATAGAGAAAAATATTTTTATAGAGAAAAATATGCTTATATATGTAAATTAAGTTGAATTTTGTTCGTTTTTAATATTGCTTTTGATTTTTTGTAGTTTTATGTTTTATGTTGAATTTATTCTATATTTTGTTTTTAATTTAAAAATACGTTTTCTATGTATTACAAAAATATAATCAATTTATACTTGGTAATTTTTAGATGCTATGGTGGCCCAAGATGGTTGTCAGACATTAGCAAACTTATCGCGTGCTTCCATAGAGCAGTTAATGGAATTCAGTTTATCGGTAGAGACTGCTAATAAAGTTCGAAATTTTTTCCGAGCAAAACATTAGTCAAATGGATTAGTGCTTCGTTGGTCAGATTTGGTTAGAGGTCGACCAATTTCGACTGATATAAGTTTAGGTGTGATATGATGTAATGTTTAGGTGTGATATGATGTAATGTTGTTTTAAACTGGTGTAAATTTACAAAATAATATTTATTTAGAAATCTTGAAAAAAAAAAACTTAAAGAATTTTATTTTTTAATTTTTGTTTTTTGGAATTTTAATACTAATAATTTCAAGATTTTTATGAACGAACAATTTTACACCTATGCATCGTTGTAAAATTGCTTTGGGGTAAAATCAAAAGAGTTTGTTAATTTGTTAGACATTATGAAACTACCACGAGGTATCGTTACATGTTATTGTTTCACATTCTTTTTTACATTTTCATTTTTTTTAAATACTAAATTTATACATTTTCTAACAATTAGAACAGTAAAAAGGAAAACTTTCTGCGTGCAGCATTTTATAATACAACTGCTATTTAAAAAAATGTTTTCTTGCATTATATGGAAAATTTCTTACCGTGACCTGGACAAAGAGATCTTTAAGGAGGGGGTGACGTCTCTGTTTTTGTTTTTTTGCCAAGTTAGGCCTTGAAAATTTTTTTTGCCGACCAACATCTAAAATTCATATATATATATATATACACACATATATATACACATATATATATACATATATATACATATATATATACATACATATATATATCATATATATATATATATATATATATGTATATATATATATATCGCGACGTTAGAATTATCTTGTTCTACCCCCACTTTCTGAAGAAATTGAGTTAATGATAGTGTTGTATTCCTCAAAATAATGTCTTTCTACTGAATTGAAATCTAAATTAAAAGTAAAATAGTTGCGGAAAAAACATAAGTTATAAAAACAAGTTTATACGCCGTCTCCTAAAGTTTTTATTTTTTAAATCGTTTTATCTCAAAACTAAAAAATGTGGAGATAGAACAAGATAATTCTAAAGTCGCAATATATATTTGCATATAAATTTTAATGAGATTTTTTTGCATTTTTTTAATTAAAACTTTGGTAGTATTCAATATTTTTATAAAAAATCAAGTTAACTTTATATTAATCCTCCATTACATTAATTCTAACTGCTATAGTTACTACAACTTTAAAAAAAAATGCATAACTAATTTATTCTTTATTAAAATTACATTGTTTTGAAATGTTTTTTAAAATAAAATACTATGGAATACAAAAAAAAAATTAGTGCAAAAATTATTTATATTTTGTTAGAAAAAATTATATTTCGAAAACATAAATACAACCATAAAGTGCTTTTTTTATTTAAACATTCTTTAAGTCTTGTTTAGTAGCATGTTTAGACACCTTCCGCCGATTGTCTAAAACCACCATCATTGTGTCTTAAAGCCTGTCTTTGGAATGTGTCCTGCCAATGAAGTCCTGCACCAATTTGATGTGTCTTTCAGCCCTGTCATTAACAACTGCTAACTGACGTACACTGGACACAAATGTCTTAAAAGATCTATTGTTGAGATTTTTCTCCAAATTTGACATGCCTTCTTCTTTCCATGCAAGAATGTCATCTTTGATTATACCAAGATGGAGAAAAAAACAGGTAAAACTCCTGAGAAACAAAGTCTGATAGTTTTGAGACAAGGCAAACTTGTGTAAAAGGTTCTGGTTGTTCTTTGTCAAAGATGTTCACCTCTGGAATATCATATTTTAACAATTCCACAAGAATATCCATCCTCTCTTTCTCTTCTAAGCGCTGGTCAGCTAAAGCAAAGATAACACACTGTGGTGTAAAATACCAAGTGTGTCTGAGAATACTAAGATTAAGAGCTTTGCCGATCTTTCCGTACTTTTTGGAGTAAAGTGGATCTATCTTAATCTGTGATGAAATCTTAAATGCTCTAAGGCCATTGGATGGAGCCTGAGCTGCCATTGGGCTTTTTAGGAAGAATAAACAGTGAAAGATCACTATATAATCTGTTGCATCTTGTATCATTTTAATCTCATTGATACTGAGTTGCTTGTTGTAATTCTTGGTCACTTGCATTGCTAACAGATATAATGAATCAGCCATAAATCTTGCTTCATGATGTGCACGAGGTTGTACAAATCTGAAGTTTAATAAATCTGCTCAGAGGTAAAAAGCTACCAGGTGACATAAATACTTATAATCACCTCTATCAAAAAAATTTGTTTTAAGAGATGTTGTGCAGAACTCCATGGTTTCATTCGCAAGATTGTAAAAGAGGGTTCCAAAAGCAAACTCAGGTCTGTTCCAATCAAATTTATCAATGCTGTCCAATGTATTCACACCTTTTTCAATCTTAGGCCAAAGATCTTGATGTTTCTTGTATAAGGATTGACTGGGTCCTCTTGTTTCTCCCTGTAGTTCCACCATAACATGATGAACATGTTGTTCCACCATAACATGATGAACATGTCGTTCCACCATAACATGATGAACATGTTGTTCCACCATAACATAATGAACATGTCGTTCCACCATAACATGATGAACATGTCGTTCCACCATAACATGATGAACATGTTGTTCCACCATAACATGATGAACATGTCGTTCCACCATAACATGATGAACATGTCGTTCCACCATAACATGATGAACATGTTGTTCCATTATCTGGTGCCTAAATTTAAAATTCTCATTTTCTGTCATTACTCTCAGAAAAAAGAAAAGAAAAAAAATACCTGGATTTTGTAAAGTAAAACATCATACCTGCACATTAGCCAAAAAATTGGACAAGGTAGAGAATAAACAGCGATGTTTTTAATTGCACCATTACGCTTTCCAGTGTTCGAGCGAGTTGTGTCAGTACAACAAGCTATGATCTGGTCTGTTAAGTCATAATATTCAACAAGGCTTTGGATAGCCAGTGCTTGATCTTTTCCTTTGGAGGAGGGTACTTCAAGTACTCCCAGAAGAAAGTCAAGTAAACCCGATTCTGGAAACGAAACACTAATTTCCAACCTTTCTACTGTTTCTGAAATCTTGACCTCCGTCCTATATTGTTAAACCAACTTTGTGTCAAAGTGAAGAACAAGTTTTAAACCCCTAATCTTATCCAGGTTCTGCTCTCTTACAATAAGTGCTTCGTTCTTTACAAATTCATGGTTTTTTCTTGCCATCTGTGACTTAGAAATGTTTAACATGCTTGGAATAGTGAAAACAGCATTGCTGTTTCAGCTCTTACGCTAACTTAATATCTAAAAATAAACAAAATTATGTAAAATTTAAGTTGTTTTACCTTAAAGCTATATATATATATATATATATATATATATATATATATATATATATATATATATATATATATATATATATATATATATATATATATATATATATATATATATATATATATATATATATATATATATATATATATATGTATATATATATATATATATATATATATATATATATATATATATATATATATATATATATATATATATATATATATATATATATATATATATATATATATATATATATATATATTAGGGTGATTCAGATTGTAATAGAAAAAAAAAAATGTCACAAAAAACATTCTCCTCAAGGTTGCCCGTGTTCCTTTATCACCTAGGATCATGTGTACCAAAAATTAGACTAAAAGAAGCAATTTTAGGGGTTGCCATGTTTTATAAGATGATTTACCATTGGTAAAATTTTGTGATTTTCTCAAATTTTGCAAATTTGTTTTTTCATTGTTTATTTATTTATAATTTAGAAATTGATAATATGGCAACCACTAGATCTTCTGCTGAGGTGTGGCTTGTTGGTAAACCTACACAAACTCTGTCGACTGCCAGACTTCCTTCAAGAGGGGATGTTCTTCGGAGGTTGCTCTTCCATCATATAGAAGAGAAACAAGAAGTGAAAAAAAGTATTCGGGCAACAATTGAAGCAGTTCTTGTTATATGGGAGAGAGGAAAAATTCCAACTCAAAGAATTGACAATGCGGAAAGAAAGTTAAAAAAACTTTATGACGAATATCTGCTGCTGAAAAAACACCGAGGATCAAAATTGGACAGCTGTCAAGTGAAAGAAGGAATTTTCCACGCTGACCTTGAAGAACTTTTTGATATTTCAACCAAGAATGCATCAGAAGTTATGAAAAACGATGAAGATAAAGCATTTTTACGTCAGCAGCAAGAAGATCCATTAAGTTGTAGTATGGCAGGAATTGATCGGAATTTAACAGCTAGGGAGGCACGGAAACGAGTCCGAGAATTTAAAATGGAATTGAGGCGTCAAAGAAGTCAAGCGGAACTGATGGAAAAAACAGAACTCATTTCTTCTTCATCAGCAGTTGACATTGTGAGTGAAAGTAGCTCTAGTTCATCGGATGATGATGTATATCAGACTCCTTCCGCTTCCAGCACACTGAGCACAAGTGGTTCAACGAAAAAGAAGATGAAAGTTCTAACAAATAATGTTGTATCATCTCTTGATCGTGTTAATATTTCTGATCGCCGTGCACTCTTCGTGGTTGGAACAGTGTCTCAGGCTCTTGGTCACTCGGTAAAAGATTTATCATTGTCGTACAGCACAATCCGCAGAAAAAGGCGATCTGTTCGTGAAGCGGTGACTACAGCTGACAAGGTTGATTTCTCTCCTGATGAATTACTTCTTCTGCATTGGGATGGAAAGCTCTTACCTGATATCACTGGTGGTCAAAAAAAAAGTGGATAGAATTGCCATCCTTGTGACTGGTGGTGGGGTGGAAAAATTGCTGGGCGTTCCAAAGATTGATCGAGGTACAGGTGAGCAACAGGCTGATGCTTGCATGAAGGCTCTTAAAGACTGGAAATTGAAAGAACTTGTTCGGGGACTGGTTTTTGACACTACTTTATCTAACACTGGGTTGAACATTGGTGCCTGCACAATAATGGAGCAGAATCTTGACCGTAATCTTATATGGATAGCATGCAGGCACTATATGTTTGAAGTCATGCTTTCCACCATTTTCACAACTGCATTTGGAACCAGTGGAGGACCTGAAGTTGGAATTTTTAACCGTTTCCAGAAACAATGGCCAGCAATCAACAAGGAGGTGTTCACTATAGGGAATAAAGAATTTTACAACTGCGAATTTTTTCTCAAACTTCGTGAAGAAATGGTAGTATATTATAGTGAAGCAATTAAAGGTCAACA